CAAACTCACAATGGAGAGGTGAATATAGTATATATATTATATTAGTATAGAAGGAGTATATTAGTATAAAAGTAGTATATTAGTATAAAGTAGTATATTAGTATAAAGTAGTATATTAGTATAAAGTAGTACATTAGTATAAAGTAGTACATTAGTATAAAGTAGTATATTAGTATAAAGTAGTACATTAGTATAAAGTAGTATATTAGTATAAAGTAGTATATTAGTATAAAGTAGTATATTAGTATAAAGTAGTACATTAGTATAAAGTAGTACATTAGTATAAAGTAGTATATTAGTATAAAGTAGTACATTAGTATAAAGTAGTATATTAGTATAAAGTAGTACATTAGTATAAAGTAGTACATTAGTATAAAGTACTACATTAGTATAAAGTAGTATATTAGTATAAAGTAGTATATTAGTATAAAAGTAGTATATTAGTATAAAGTAGTATATTAGTATAAAGTAGTATATTAGTATAAAGTAGTACATTAGTATAAAGTAGTACATTAGTATAAAGTAGTACATTAGTATAAAGTAGTATATTAGTATAAAGTAGTCCATTAGTATAAAGTAGTACATTAGTATAAAGTAGTACATTAGTATAAAAGTAGTATATTAGTATAAAGTAGTACATTAGTATAAAGTAGTACATTAGTATAAAGTAGTATATTAGTATAAAGTAGTCCATTAGTATAAAGTAGTACATTAGTATAAAGTAGTATATTAGTATAAAGTAGTACATTAGTATAAAGTAGTACATTAGTATAAAGTAGTATATTAGTATAAAGTAGTACATTAGTATAAAAGTAGTATATTAGTATAAAGTAGTACATTAGTATAAAGTAGTACATTAGTATAAAGTAGTACATTAGTATAAAGTAGTACATTAGTATAAAGTAGTACATTAGTATAAAGTAGTACATTAGTATAAAGTAGTACATTAGTGTGGAGAATGTGTGGAGAGCGTATTTGACCTTAATGGTGCTGGCTAGCTCCTGGAGCGTTAGCTCGTAGCGGGCGGCCATGTTCTTCAACAGCTGATGTTTGACTGCGTGTTTCTGGATCCCAGCACTTCCTGCCTCCTTCACCATCTTCAGGAAGTTGGCCCTCTGTGGAGAACAACACACCTGTTGGTCTGGTAACACAGGTGCAATTTAAGGTCAGGGTGGCGTGGCGAGAAGAAGACAAGGTGTCACCTGTACGTCCAGCAGGAAGGTGAAGGCCACGCCCGCTTTCCCTGCTCTGGCCGTTCTTCCGATCCTGCGGGAGAAACAGCAGAAAACTAGAACCTTCTGGAGCTACCTAGAACTACCAGGAGCTACCTAGAACTACCAGGAGCTACCTAGAACTACCTAGAACTACCAGGAACCTTCAGGAGCTACCTAGAACTACCAGGAACTAGCTAGAACTACCAGGAGCTACCTAGAACTACCAGGAACCTTCTGGAGCTACCTAGAACTACCAGGAACTACCTAGAACTACCAGGAGCCTCCAGGAACTACCAAGAACCTTCTGGAGCTACCTAGAACTACCAGGAGCTACCTAGAACTACCAGGAACTACCTAGAACTACCTAGAACTACCAGGAACCTTCTGGAGCTACCTAGAACTACCAGGAACTACCTAGAACTACCAGGAGCCTCCAGGAACTACCAATAACCTTCTGGAGCTACCTAGAACTACCAGGAACTACCTAGAACTACCAGGAACCTCCAGGAACTACCTAGAACTACCAGGAGCTACCTAGAACTACCAGGAGCCTCCAGGAACTACCTAGAACCTTCTGGAGCTACCTAGAACTACCAGGAACCTTCTGGAGCTACCTAGAACTACCAGGAGTTACCTAGAACTACCAAGAACCTCCAGGAACTACCAAGAACCTTCTGGGACCTCCTAAAATGCCTTGGATCAACCTAGCTGAACATCCTAGAAGAACAACCTGGAACAAGCGACGCCACACACAGTGCTGTCAGCGTGTGTGTGTGTAGACCTGTGGATGTCAGTGTGTGTGTGTGTGTGTGTGTGTAGACCTGTGGATGTCAGTGTGTGTGTGTGTGTGTGTGTGTGTGTGTGTGTGTGTGTGTGTGTGTGTGTGTGTAGACCTGTGGATGTCAGTGTGTGTGTGTGTGTGTGTGTGTAGACCTGTGGATGTCAGTGTGTGTGTGTGTGTGTGTGTGTAGACCTGTGGATGTCAGTGTGTGTGTGTGTGTGTGTGTGTGTGTGTGTGTGTGTGTGTGTAGACCTGTGGATGTCAGTGTGTGTGTGTGTGTGTGTGTGTGTGTGTGTGTGTGTGTGTGTGTGTGTGTGTGTGTGTGTGTGTGTGTGTGTGTGTGTGTGTGTGTGTGTGTGTGTAGACCTGTGGATGTCAGTGTGTGTGTGTGTGTGTGTAGACCTGTGGATGTCAGTGTGTGTGTGTGTGTGTGTGTGTGTGTGTGTGTAGACCTGTGGATGTCAGTGTGTGTGTGTGTGTGTGTGTGTAGACCTGTGGATGTCAGTGTGTGTGTGTGTGTGTGTGTGTGTGTGTAGACCTGTGGATGTCAGTGTGTGTGTGTGTGTGTGTAGACCTGTGGATGTCAGTGTGTGTGTGTGTGTGTGTGTGTGTGTGTGTGTGTGTAGACCTGTGGATGTCAGTGTGTGTGTGTGTGTGTGTGTGTGTGTGTGTGTAGACCTGTGGATGTCAGTGTGTGTGTGTGTGTGTGTGTGTGTGTGTGTGTGTGTGTGTAGACCTGTGGATGTCAGTGTGTGTGTGTGTGTGTGTGTGTGTGTGTAGACCTGTGGATGTCAGTGTCAGTGTGTGTGTGTGTGTGTGTGTGTGTGTGTGTGTGTGTGTGTGTGTGTGTAGACCTGTGGATGTCAGTGTCAGTGTGTGTGTGTGTGTGTGTGTGTGTGTAGACCTGTGGATGTCAGTGTCAGTGTGTGTGTGTGTGTGTGTGTGTGTGTGTAGACCTGTGGATGTCAGTGTGTGTGTGTGTGTGTGTGTGTGTGTGTGTGTGTGTGTAGACCTGTGGATGTCAGTGTCAGTGTGTGTGTGTGTGTGTGTGTGTGTGTGTGTGTGTGTGTAGACCTGTGGATGTCAGTGTGTGTGTGTGTGTGTAGACCTGTGGATGTCAGTGTGTGTGTGTGTGTGTGTGTGTGTAGACCTGTGGATGTCAGTGTGTGTGTGTGTGTGTGTGTGTGTAGACCTGTGGATGTCAGTGTGTGTGTGTGTGTGTGTGTGTGTAGACCTGTGGATGTCAGTGTGTGTGTGTGTGTGTGTGTGTGTGTGTGTGTGTGTGTGTGTGTGTGTGTGTGTGTGTGTAGACCTGTGGATGTAGGTCCTCAGGTACTGCGGCGCGTCGTAGTTCACCACACACTTGATGCCCTCGATGTCGATGCCCCTGGCGGCCGCATCCGTGCAGATCAGCCTGCAACACACCATCACTTATATTGACTAACCCTCGCTAGGTATCGATTAACCCTAGATAGATATTGATTAACCCTAGATAGATATTGATTAACCCTAGATAGATATTGATTATCCCTAGATAGATATTGATTAACCCTAGATAGATATCGATTAACCCTAGATAGATATTGATTAACCCTAGATAGATATTGATTAACCCTCGCTAGATATTGATTAACCCTAGATAGGTATCGATTATCCCTAGATAGATATTGATTAACCCTAGATAGATATTGATTAACCCTAGATAGATATTGATTAACCCTAGATAGATATTGATTATCCCTAGATAGATATTGATTAACCCTAGATAGATATTGATTAACCCTAGATAGATATTGATTAACCCTAGATAGATATTGATTAACCCTAGATAGATATCGATTAACCCTAGATAGATATTGATTAACCCTAGATAGATATCGATTAACCCTCGCTAGATATTGATTAACCCTCGCTAGATATTGATTAACCCTCGCTAGATATTGATTAACCCTCGCTAGATATTGATTAACCCTAGATAGATATTGATTAATCCTCGCTAGATATTAACCCTAGCTAGATATTGATTAACCCTAGATAGATATCGATTAACCCTAGATAGATATCGATTAACCCTAGATAGATATCGATTATCCCTAGATAGATATTGATTAACCCTAGATAGATATTGGTTAACCCTAGATAGATATCGATTATCCCTAGATAGATATTGATTAACCCTAGATAGATATCGATTATCCCTAGATAGATATTGATTAACCCTAGATAGATATTGATTAACCCTAGATAGATATTGATTAACCCTAGATAGATATCGATTATCCCTAGATAGATATTGATTAACCCTAGATAGATATCGATTATCCCTAGATAGATATTGATTAACCCTAGATAGATATTGATTAACCCTAGATAGATATCGATTATCCCTAGATAGATATTGATTAACCCTAGATAGATATTGATTAACCCTAGATAGATATTGATTAACCCTAGATAGATATCGATTATCCCTAGATAGATATCGATTAACCCTAGATAGATATTGATTAACCCTCGCTAGATATTGCTGAAGCGCGGCAGTACTCACAGCTGGATGTTTCCCTGCTGGAAGTTTTTGAGTGTGTGTTTCCTCTCAGCTGAGGAGAGACGAGAGGAGAACTCGGCCGCCGCCACGCCTCCAAACAGCTTCACCAGCAGGTACAGCCTGGACACACACACACACACACACACACACACACACACACACACACACACACACACACACACACACACACACACACACACACACACACACACACAGTATCATTTAGATGCTGTACAGGATGACGAGGTTCTGGACAGCAGCAGGAGGGGACAGGAAGTGTCTCTACCTGTGGGCAGCCTGTCTGGAGTTGGTGAAGCAGAGCAGAGGGCAGAACTTCATGTGGAGAACGTAGTGGAGGATGAGGAGCGGCTTCTTGCTCAGCGTACAGGGAACATAGTACTCCTGGAGAACACACAACACGCCTCAGTTAGGGGGCATCTTGCTCTAGGATGCCTACAGCTAGACTGGACTGGACATTGGAGATCGAACCCAGAACCTTTGGGCCGGGAGTCCAACCCCCTGAGCACTGGACTATCCCGCCCCCCCCCACATGCAGAACATAGGACTACTATTACAGAAGACTTTTATTGTGAAACTGTGTTGCCTCACCGTGAGTCCCTCAGGAAAGTGGAAGCGCTCCTGTGTCTGGGTGGAGGCGTGGCCAGGGCTGGGGGCGGGGCCAGAGTGGGTGGAGCTGAAGAGGCGGGGCTGGTGCAGGCCGAGCTGCTGCAGCTTCTCAGGGTTCATGGTGAGCGTGGCAGAGAACAGCAGCTTCTGGAGCGGCATCTGGGGCGGAGACAGGCTGCGGCACGCATGCAGAGACGCATTTAAACACATGCAGAGACGCATTTAAACACATGCAGACGCATTTAAACACACGGAGACGCATTTAAACATGCAGACGCATTTAAACACATGGAGACGCATTTAAACACATGGAGACGCATTTAAACACATGGAGACGCATTTAAACACATGGAGACGCATTTAAACACATGCAGACGCATTTAAACACATGCAGGCGCATTTAAACACACGGAGACGCATTTAAACACATGGAGACGCATTTAAACACATGCAGACGCATTTAAACACACGGAGACGCATTTAAACATGCAGACGCATTTAAACACATGGAGACGCATTTAAACACATGGAGACGCATTTAAACACATGGAGACGCATTTAAACACATGGAGACGCATTTAAACACATGCAGACGCATTTAAACACATGGAGACGCATTTAAACACATGGAGATGCATTTAAATACATGGAGACGCATTTAAACACATGGAGACGCATTTAAACACATGGAGACGCATTTAAACACATGGAGACGCATTTAAACACATGGAGACGCATTTAAACACATGCAGACGCATTTAAACACATGGAGACGCATTTAAACACATGGAGACGCATTTAAATACATGCAGACGCATTTAAACACATGCAGACGCATTTAAACACATGCAGACGCATTTAAACACACGGAGACGCATTTAAACACATGCAGACGCATTTAAACACATGCAGGCGCATTTAAACACATGGAGACGCATTTAAACACATGCAGACGCATTTAAACACACGGAGACGCATTTAAACACATGGAGACGCATTTAAACACATGGAGACGCATTTAAACACACGGAGACGCATTTAAACACACGGAGACGCATTTAAACACATGGAGACGCATTTAAACACATGGAGACACATTTAAACACATGCAGGCGCATTTAAACACACGGAGACGCATTTAAACACACGGAGACGCATTTAAACACACGGAGACGCATTTAAACACATGGAGACGCATTTAAACACATGGAGACGCATTTAAACACATGGAGACGCATTTAAACACATGCAGGCGCATTTAAACACATGGAGACGCATTTAAACACATGCAGACGCATTTAAACACATGCAGACGCATTTAAACACATGGAGACGCATTTACACACATGGAGACGCATTTAAACACATGCAGACGCATTTACACACATGAAGACGCATTTAAACACATGCAGACGCATTTACACACATGAAGACGCATTTAAACACATGGAGACACATTTAAACACATGCAGACGCATTTAAACACATGCAGGCGCATTTAAACACATGCAGGCGCATTTAAACACACAGAGACGCATTTAAACACACGGAGACGCATTTAAACACATGGAGACGCATTTAAACACATGGAGACGCATTTAAACACATGGAGACGCATTTAAACACATGCAGACGCATTTAAACACATGGAGACGCATTTAAACACATGGAGACGCATTTAAACACATGGAGACGCATTTGAGATGCGCGGCGAGACAGAAGATGTCCTCACCTGGCAGCGGTGATGTGTGTGGGTTCACTCCTCTTGAAGACCGAGGAACTTTCAGACCCACTTCCTGCTTTGAACACCGCCTTGGTCACCTGACCCAGCCAAGAATGATGCATGCTGTCAATCATCCTGTCCGCCTCGTCGATCACCTGTACGTGTCAAGAGAGGAACGGGTGTGAGAGGGATGACATCATCTTCCTCTCGGAAAAAACGGGAAGGAGCGGGAGGTCACCAGGAAGCGGAGCAGTTCCAGGCGGAACCCGGGAGTCATGTTGATGTGGTCCACCAGCCGGCCTGGCGTTGCTACGACGATATCAGCCAAGCACTTCCACCTCCTGCCTCTGGAAACATACACACACACAATACACACATGCTATCTAAGAAACGCGTGAGGAGGCGAATCCTCCGCCACCGGATCCTTCTCCTCACTGGCGGTCCTCCAAAGAGGTTCTGGGGGCTCTAGAAGACCAGAGAGAGCCGTCCGTACCTCTGCTCCGCCAGAGAAGCTTGCTCCGCAGCGAATGACTTCTGACCGGCCGCCATCACCACCTTCAGACCCGTGCCCTCTGCATACACCGCAAACACCTTACACACCTACAGAACACACACACACACACACACACACACACACACACACACACACACGTTACACACCTAGAGGACGCACAACATGTGAAGCTATGTTTGTAAAGGTCTGGGTGTTGTGCTAAGATCTCACCTGCTGGGCGAGCTCCTTGGTGGGCAACACGACCAGCGCTCTGACCTCACACACCACCCGCTTGCTCAGAGCCTGGAAACACACAAACATCATCAATCACCATCTCCACCGTTAGAGCTGTACATGCTCTACATGCTCTACATGCTCTACATGCTCTCCATGCTCTACATGCTCTACATGCTCTCCATGCTCTACATGCTCTACATGCTCTACATGCTCTCCATGCTCTACATGCTCTACATGCTCTCCATGCTCTACATGCTCTACATGCTCTCCATGCTCTACATGCTCTACATGCTCTACATGCTCTCCATGCTCTACATGCTCTACATGCTCTACATGCTCTCCATGCTCTACATGCTCTCCATGCTCTACATGCTCTCCATGCTCTACATGCTCTCCATGCTCTCCATGCTCTACATGCTCTACATGCTCTACTACATGCTCTACATGCTCTACATGCTCTCCATGCTCTACATGCTCTACATGCTCTACATGCTCTCCATGCTCTACATGCTCTACATGCTCTCCATGCTCTCCATGCTCTACATGCTCTACATGCTCTACATGCTCTCCATGCTCTACATGCTCTACATGCTCTCCATGCTCTACATGCTCTACATGCTCTCCATGCTCTACATGCTCTCCATGCTCTACATGCTCTACATGCTCTACATGCTCTACATGCTCTCCATGCTCTCCATGCTCTACATGCTCTACATGCTCTCCATGCTCTACATGCTCTCCATGCTCTACATGCTCTACATGCTCTACATGCTCTCCATGCTCTACATGCTCTACATGCTCTACATGCTCTCCATGCTCTACATGCTCTCCATGCTCTACATGCTCTCCATGCTCTACATGCTCTCCATGCTCTACATGCTCTCCATGCTCTACATGCTCACCTGGACCACGGGGACAACGAAGGCGAGGGTCTTCCCGCTGCCGGTGGGAGCCGACACGCAGATGTCCCGCGGGCCTGTAGCCCCCCCGGCCCACCAGCACCCCCTGCTGCACGCACTGCAGCACCGCAGGCACCACCTCCGCCTGGACTGGAGGAGCACCACACCATACTGGTTATCTACTGGTATTATCTACTGGTATTATCTACTGGTATTACTGTTATCTACTGGTTATCTACTGGTATTACTGTTATCTACTGGTATTACTGTTATCTACTGGTATTATCTACTGGTATTACTGTTATCTACTGGTATTATCTACTGGTATTACTGTTATCTACTGGTATTATCTACTGGTATTACTGTTATCTACTGGTATTATCTACTGGTATTACTGTTATCTACTGGTATCTACTGGTATTACTGTTATCTACTGGTATTACTGGTTATCTACTGGTATTACTGTTATCTACTGGTATTACTGTTATCTACGTACTGGTATTACTGTTATCTACTGGTATTACTGTTATCTACTGGTTATCTACTGGTATTGCTGTTATCTACTGGTATTACTGTTATCTACTGGTATTACTGGTTATCTACTGGTATTACTGGTTATCTACTGGTATTACTGTTATCTACTGGTATTACTGTTATCTACTGGTATTACTGTTATCTACTGGTATTACTGTTATCTACTGGTATTACTGTTATCTACTGGTATTACTGGTTATCTACTGGTATTACTGGTTATCTACTGGTATTATTGTTATCTACTGGTATTACTGTTATCTACTGGTATTACTGTTATCTACTGGTATTACTGTTATCTACTGGTATTACTGGTTATCTACTGGTATTACTGGTATTACTGTTATCTACTGGTATTACTGTTATCTACTGGTATTACTGTTATCTACTGGTATTACTGTTATCTACTGGTATTACTGGTTATCTACTGGTATTACTGTTATCTACTGGTATTATCTACTGGTATTACTGTTATCTACTGGTATTACTGTTATCTACTGGTATTATCTACTGGTATTACTGTTATCTACTGGTATTATCTACTGGTATTACTGTTATCTACTGGTATTACTGTTATCTACTGGTATTATCTACTGGTGTTACCGGGGAAGAAGCTGTGAACTCCGTTGTCTCTGAGTTTCTTCAGCAGTCCAGAGGAGATGCCCTGGACCTGGGAGATGTCCACCAGGTTGCTCCTGATGTCCCTCTGGATCAGGTCTGGCTGGGCCAGCCAATGGGGCAGCACCCGGTGCACCTGACAACACGACACAACAACACAACAACACAACACAAAACAACAACACAACACCGCTTTAGCCTTCACCACCAGAATACCGCCTGTAGCAGAAGGAACGGCCGCATCCTCCCAACAATACCTTTTGGACTGCTTTCTTCTCGAATCCCCCAAGCACTGTGAAACCAGCCGGGACAACGGCCTTCTGGTTCTCCCTCTGGACCTCTCCTCCTCCTTCCTCTCCTCCTCCTCCTTCCTCTCCTCCTCCTTCCTCTTTCACTCCTCCTTCCTCTTTGAC